TACTATTATGATGACCACAAAGCAGTGATTTTCTAATTCCAACATCCTTTCTGTTGATGTTAGTTGGCATTCTATGATAATATAGATTTCTCTTCTCCCCATGAATTAAATACATTTACATATCTTATTATTTATAGCCCAGTGAAATAAAATATGCCTATTTCATGTAGCAAAATAATCTGTTACTGTCATTTTTAGTTTCATCCTCAAAAGATCCCAAATTTTGTTAGTTGAAATCTATTCAAAATGTCCTTGTCACATATTTCTATCATTCATTTACTATTTCGCTACTCTGGCTTTGTAAGATCATAAAATGTTCCAGATTCATCTGTAATTTCTGAGCCCCAAATCTCTAAGGACCAAATCACTAGATGCGCTTATTGCTACTAAGGTATTTGTATTCCAGATCCTCATAGTAAAGAGAGGAAAGAAATATATGTAGATGTACCTTTATACCTATATTAATGCATAGTAATCTATCCTTATTTCTATTATTGAAACAATGAGATTACATCAATACCTATAATTTCAATACACACCACAATATTTATTCTAGCATTTTTTTGTATCGCTGACTTTTATCTCCATCAGTAAGAAAGCTGGCTTGCATTACTTTCAATATCTTTATTTATTTTCTTAATACCCTCCATCTTATATATAACAAACCTCCAACCCTACCAGTCCATTTCCTGATATCACAGTTCCAATTTGAGATGTGACTAGAAAGTTTATGAGAGGGTACCAGAGAAAAGAAAAATGTGCAGAGGCAGTTGTATGAATGATGCAGATTTATGGTTAATTGTGATATGAGTCCACCTCAAAACATATATGCCAAAACAATTAACACAAATTTAGTTGGTGTGAATACAAAAAAAAGGTCATGAAGTAATTCCATGAAGTGAATTTGAGCCATATTTTTAGTACATAGAATCTAAAAATTCTATGAAGAATTTATGAAGATGTTATTGTCCAGATTTTTAATAATTTAGGTTTTCACAATCTTATGAGCATGATTGAAGATATGTGAATCCCCCAAGTACCCTTCCAACCAATGATTATCCTATCTAATTAATGGGAATAGGAGAAACTAAAAGTTATAACTTCTATACTTGAACATAGAAAATTTATTGCTATGATTCACATCACATATCTCTTGAGTATCAAATTAAATCATTTACAATGTAAACAAAATAGATCACTTTATTATAACAAGTAAATATTTATCAATTATTTGAAATTGATTCAATTTCAGAATGTCTAACTGCCATCTTCTGTGATTATTAAATGGTTTGCTTTAGTACTTGAGATAAATGTCCTGTATTTGCAATGAGCAACTTGCTGATGTTTGTTGAAAGAAACCTCTCTTTGGTGGGAGCTAAACTATTCTATAACTGACAAGAAGTCAAATGTGAAAATCTACATTAACTAGGACTCTAGTCATAATTATTGCAGTGGTGTTAAGCATTCCTTATAAATTGACAAACAGGCTGTTTGCTACTTGTTTATGTTGAATAAGCCAATGAGAATTCCAAAAGTATTAGATAGATCATAACAAAAATTTCAAGAACTTTATGAATATAAGTCAAATTATTTTCACCTATATCTTCACATTATTTAATTAAAATATCATAACTCAAGATAATTTTTAGGTATGGTTTCATAATGCCTGAAAACATCTTCAATCTTATTTAAAGGTAGTATAGGCCCTCTCTGGTGGCACAAAGGGTTAAAGCATGCACTATGAAGCTATCCACAGCTACTGCAACATGAGTGTGTTTCCTGGCCAAGGAGGTGACCCACGTGCTTGGCAGACCTCTACTGACCTGCCCACAGCATGAGTTCAATTCCCCGCCAGAGAGGTGACCAACATGGTATCTCCTGACTTGCCCACTGCTTCCCTCAGCAGTATATTTCAGTAGATCCTCCTGTTCTTCTTCCCATTCTGTTTCTGGTGAATCCTCTCACCCCTGACCCACTCCCTGCACCTCTGGACTTTACCCCAGTTCTTATATGCATAAATAAATAAATCTTTAAAAAAATAAAGTAGTATAAATTTATAGTACTAAATTATCTGGAACAATGGGCATCTTGCTGATGTTTACTGAAAGAAACCTCCATTTTATGGGAGTTGAACTATTTTATAACTTAACAATTAAGAAGTCAAATGTGGAAATCTATATTAACTAAGACTATAGCTATAAGTTATAGTTATAAGTTAACTTAGATGCTGTTTTATATAGCATTCAGGTGCTCTGTTTAAAGTGACTCACTCCAATAAATTTCATTTCTAATTTCTAAAATCCATAAAGGGGACATATTGTCAGTTATTGTATATTTCAAAACTACAGTAAACCTATATCACCAACTTTAATGCCTCCAGACCAAAAAAAATCACAACAAATCAGATAATAAAACATGACAGGCCTATTTCAACTTGTGATCAATCTAAGGAAATTTTAACTGATGTCACTGTTTCTTACAATGTGGTCCAGGAATTAGATATGTAATAACTGTTTTTGCTGCTTCCTACTAAATTTAGATTCCCAGGCTTGTCTTCTATTCTCCTAAAACAGATCTTATGAGAACCATTAACCAAAGTCCCAGGAGCTTTAAAGAGACTGTTCTGCATGAATACAGATAGGAAAGGCTAGTAAGATATTCCAGTGTTGTCAGTATGTATAATTCTCTTCAAAAGAAACTTTACAGGGCTCTTTGGTGGCACAGTGATTAAAGTCTCAGCACTCTCAAGCTATCACCAGTCACTGCAGCATGAGTTCAATCCCAGACAGAGAGCTAACTCACCAGTCTCCATGGCTGCTGTTTCCTTAGCAGTATATGTCAATAGATCTGCCTGTTCTGTTCCCACTCTATCTCTGATGAAACCTCTCACACACACACACCCCCACCCCCACTGCTGGCCTAGTTCTTGTATGCATAAATAAATTAAATAAATCTTAATTTAAAAAAACTTCCACCATCATGATCAAAATTGTCATATGAAGGTTTGCTCTCAAAAGGAACATATCCATTTTCTTGCTTGCAGTATTTACTTAAAGTATTTATCAACCCTTAAAAAATGAACTGCTCATCACTAACATCTAAGCTAACATGGATGTATCTGTCACCCTCCAAATCAATAAAATACAAAGCATATAATTTTGGTTTTTGTTTTTCAATGAGGAATTCTCACCATCTTATGAGACAATTTTACCATCACTTAAAACTCATCAGTGCAAAACAAGGGTGGGGAATATTTTGTTGTTGTTTTAATGATTAATAAAGATCAAGTTGGACTTATTTTCTAATCACATAGAAAGTTTACATATATTCCAAACTCTATTATCTCTTAGAGAGAATATAGGGGACTTTATAATAAGTGAACAAATGAGAAGAACAGCTATTGAAAACAATTCACTTATTCTGCCTGATAAATTATACTTTATATTCTAGGAGAGTAGAAACACTCTATATTTACATTCTTTTGAAGCAATTAATACACTGCCACAGAGTTATTATGCTTTTGCTTAAAAATATTCATGTGGGATTATGTATAATTTATAATCACTAGACTAAAAACAAAGAAAAGAATTTTTTAGTCGCAGTAATTCTGATTTGCTTTTGCATTTGGGCTTCCCTTGCTAACACTCTTGGCAAAACAAGAAGCCAGGCATACACTGCAGGACTTTTTGATTCTAAACAACAATGAGTTTCAGTTTAAACAATGGTTGTATTTTTTAAGACTGTATAAATGGTAACTTTTAAGTTGGGGGGGGGCTTAAATGATCTTGCAAATCTTGATTATTTAAACCTCATCCTCCCCAGAGAAGAAATCTATTGATGGCACTTTTTTCCTTCCCCTTTTTGTGTTTGGGCATTAATCACATTATTGTTTTCTCTGCAGTTTTCATTCTCTTTTCCTCCGTCCTAGGGAAAGCGCTCCATTCTCTTTCCCTGCAGCGATTCAGCCTTACTCAGATGCCATAGACAAGTAAACCATCAAGCCTGGTAACAACTGGAGTGTGTGTGTGTATGTGTGTGTGAGAGAGAAAGAGAGACAAACAGAGACAGAGAGACAGAGAAAGAGCACCTCGAATCTCCCAATTCCTCTAACCGCAAGACCGGGCCCTACTGGACTGTTGGATTTGGAATATAAGGGATCCTGGGTGTCCCGCCCCGGGGCCTCAAATCTCTCCAGCTGCCGGGCAACCATTGGGACGCTTTGCCCCGGCAGGTTTCCGTCTGCCATTCTCATTTTGTCCTGTCCTCCCGCTCTTCTTTTCTTCCCCTGTGTTTTTGACATTAATTCTTTGATGGCGAAAGAAAACAGCTCAGAGACACACGCCTCCTTTCTATAAATATGCGTGTTTTTCCCCTGAATCTCTCTCCGCCCCTTTCTCCCGCGAAACCACGTAGGGTCTGCAATGCAAAGGACTCTCCTTTCACCAAGAAATCAGTGTCAGAGTCTTAGTTTGCCAATTTCATTCCGCATGGCCGCACCTACTAATGCCTACACCTCACCAGTTCATCTTTCTTCCAGTTAGCGTATCCCTTCTCACTGCTAACCACCTTCTCTACCTGTTCGGTTCCCACATTAAGCAAACAAACAAACAAACCCAGCACTCATAATAGTGTGAATTCAAGGAAGAAAGTGTGGTGTGGAACATAGCCGAGTGTGTGCATCCATCCGGCTCAGCCTGTCCGGGTCTTGTGCATGTGGCTGCGAGGTGCAGGACAGTCAGACCGCACAAACTTCCCCTGGCATGCTGAAGCTGGGCCCTCCTCACCTCACCTGTGTGCGCCAGGTAACCAGGGAAGTACCCACCCAGCCGCGCTACAGGACACCTGGCCGGAACCGCGCGAATGCCGGTGGACTTGGGGCCACAGGGGCGCCCGCTCTACGCCTCAGTCTTCTATCTCCTTCTCTCCGAGGCGTCCCGTTTTCCCCTCTTCACCCCCTTTCCCAAAGACCAACGGGACCGCCCTCCTCCACAACACCTTACCTCAAACAAGGGGCCGATCTTGTTCTTCTCCAGGTAAGCCTGGATCCGGGATTGCTGATGAGACGCCATCAAAACAGATGGGGCCACAGAGAGTGAGGGAAGACCGCACGGCCGGCCGAAGCCTCGGCAGGGGGACGAGCCTCCTCTTCTTGGGACTGGGGCCAAGAGACCTCCCGAGCCTCTGCTTCCCTGGCGTGGCCGACTCAGCCCGGCGTGGCTGCAACCCGGGAACCAGGAGCGCGTGGGGCGCCGAAAGCCGGAAGCCCAGGCACCGCACCGCGAACTCAGACAACTCTGAGGCGAGGAGAGAACTCATACATCGCGTTCTCCTCGCGGCGCCCGCCCTCACAGCTCTCTGCAGCGCCCGGCGCGGGAGGAAATTCTAGGCAGAGGTTGGTTTCTCCTCTGGGCGGCAGCAGCAAGAATCAGGGGGCCGGAGGCGAGCCTGCAGGGGTGCTGCTCCGCCTAGAGCGGCAGCGGGGGGCGCCCGCGGGAGAACTGTGGCCGCGGGGCTCGAACTCGCCGCGAGCGTGCGTACACTGGTGTGTGTGTGCGTGTCGGCGCGCCCAACTGTGTGTGTCCCTCTCCCGGGTTACCGCAACAAACAGCTCGAGCGTCTCCCCGCGGAGGTGCACGCCCTGCTCGCCGCTCCCTAGCGACAGCGCCGCTTAAAAAGCCAATGGTGAAGGTGCTTCTTTCAAAGTGCACATAAATCTGGCGCTTGTTGGCTACTCCTTGGCAGCTACAAATGCTTTTCGGAAAGGGTTCATCTGCATCACCCCTTCTGAGACTTTGGAAACCTACTCTACCTACACTAGCTCAAGATCCGACAGGGACAGAAACATGAAAAGGTGAATGGGTCTGAGAGTTTGTAGCGTAAAATGAACTTGCCTGCCGTTTGAAAATCTGACTTGACCTGGAGCAAGTCGACTAGCTACTGAGAACCCAACTGAAAACTCCTAAAGTGCAGGGAGTCCAAGATTGGGAGAAACCTTTTGACTAGAAGTGATAAAAGCGAGCCGTCCCTCCCAAATCGGTCTCCCTAATCCATGTCCTAAATTATGTCTGTATATCTAGAGCTACATCTCAGATGCTCCGATAGTTGTATGAATGTTGCTGTAGAACTTTATGAGCTCCTAAAATTTACCCAGCATCTAATTATGCAGGGATTTCCTAGATGTAGCTACATACAGCACAGGTTTCCTTACAGACTTGTCTTTCTTATGTATAAACTGCCAGGCCTGTAATGACAGATTGCCCTGCTCCTACGAAGCTTTGCCACCAAAATAAAAAGATTCATGCTGGTAAATATGAATTTAGAATAAAGGAAATAGTAATCCTTAAAACAGGCTACATCAGTACAGATTTTTCTTCACTGTGTTCTGAATTTTTGTAATTCATAATTTATTGTTTCAGTGTGATAGTTAAGTGGAAACAGAATCATTATGATAAAAAAGAATCTTTCAAATAATATTATTAATTCCACTTGATAATTTAGATAAGAAGCCTGTCAGACGAGCTAATAGTTTAACCATCACTGATAACCTGAAGTAGATATGATTTGGGGTGGAAAGATGCTTTTACAATCAGACACGTGTGATCTGCCTAGAGAGAGATCAGTGGAATAGCAGTGTGTCGCCCTGGCTTGTCGTGTGTTTTCCACTGTGCTTCAAAACTATACGTAGTTATTTTTTTAAATAATATAACAGTTTATTTTTACATCATATTTCTTTATTTTTAATGTGTCTAGAGAAATTAAATATAGAGAGTGATAGCAACATCTTTATTTGCTAAAAGGTGTGGTGTAGACCTATCTATGATCCAACTAAAAAGTAGATACTTTTAATACCAGTTGGTACTGGAGCGTCAGAGTGATACCTTCCTCTAAGGGACTTGAGGAAGATGCTTCTTTAATCAGCTAATTAACATATTTATTAAATCTTCCTCATACTCAGAGCACTGCACCAAGAATATAAAAGCCAAGTTTCTGCTGCCAATACTAAAGAGTACTACAGAGAAGAGCATGCTGGTATATATATTCGTTTATGTTGAGACACTGAACATTCCAAAATTATATTTTTAGAATTCAGGCATATTTTAGATGTTATTCAAGGTTTACTTCAAAGACCATCTCTTCTACAAAGCATTTCTTGGTTCTTTCCACTTATCCCTGAACCTGACTTCATTGCTATAATAAATATTTATTGCACATCTTCTCCAGGACAGACATTACGTTAAGGGGCTGAGAATTCAAAGGTTTCTGAAAGGCCTTGTTTTTGTTCTAACGCGTCCAATCTTGTTGATGCATTTGGCATATACACAGATAATGACACTAGAGTGTGTTATATTTATATCAGTATATAAAACATATACATATACTGATGATGGAAAAATTACCTATGCCAGGATCCTCAAGGAGTGTTCTGTAAACCCTAAATGTTACAACTGAGATAGAAAAATGCACAAAATATTGTAAAAATAAACTATTATATAATTTTTTTAAATTTAGATTTAGTGTTTATAAAACCTAATTACAGCAATGTGTAACAGACATCTCTAACATGTTTAAATAAAACTTGGTATCTTAAAAAATACCTAAATGTTAAAGAAAGAGTCAAATTTAACTTTTTCCAGATAGAACTGATAGGATGAAGATGGGGATAATGTTTCAGGCATTGGTGTAAACAATAGCACATATAAAAGCATAGTGGTATCAGGTTGATAATTAGAGAAGCACAGGTCTAGTTGGAGGAAAATTGGCATGTGAGGTGATAAATATAAGGAGAGTTCAGCTCATTAAAGTTGTTAAATCACGTTTAAGCAGTATCTTAGGCAATCTTACATCTTCTGGACAATGAAAAATGACCAAAGAGTTTTAAAGAGAATCATTGTATATAGTGAGGTAAAAGTTTTAGAAAGACAGTTTCGGGTACAAACATGTATGACAGACTGAAAGATAGGGAAATAGCAAAGCCAATTTGGATTATAGACACCATAAATAAATTTTAAGAGCCAGACTTAGGACTGGGGATGTGGAGAGAAAGAGGGTGAGATATATTCAAGAAATACTTAAAGGCTGACTATATAGACTATGAGGTTGGAGGAGGGGATCAAGACGACCCTCTGATTTCTGCAATGTAGTTAAGAAATTATAGATTATTTGGTAAATCATCCAGTGAATAAATGATAGGGTCAGATTTTTCTAACTCCAAAGCTGAAGTTATTTCTATTCTCTAATCTGTATCCTTAAAACCAGTCAAAATTTTATTTTTGTACTTACCAGTGCCCCTTCGTGAGAAGGGCATGGCTCATGAACTAGAACATGATAGCACTCAATAAAAAACAGTTGAATGAATTAAAGTTTAAAGTTTAGCAAATTGATTTTAATTCAATTATATTCTTTCAAGCTAAATTTTACCTTTGACACATGGCATTTTCTTCCATTTAATTAATTGTACACATATATTAGACTCTATTTTGAATTGCAAGCACTTTAAAATAATAAATTGCATTGTAATTCTCTTATATTTTCCAGCATGTAATATATTACATTTTCATGCAGTAGGTTCTCATAAACATAGCCCTAATTAATATCCTATTGCTATCCATTTTAAGAATTTGTTTCATTTAATCTCTGAGATTGACTAAAAAATAATCCAAGTAGTCTTAGAACTATTTAACCACTCTCCTCTGAACATATAACATGGTATTTTTTTATGATCTTTTCCCTTTTTTGGCTTAAGTACAGCATGAAAATGCCATTTTCAGTGAGACTGTTTTGACCTCATTGTGTTAAAGGAGAGCCTGTCAGCATTACTTACACATATAGAGAATCCAATTTGTAGAATGTTCTAAAGATCTTGTCTAATTCCGTTTGTAAGATGCCTTGCACAGCTTTAATGAATGATTTCTGATGAAGAAAAACAAAACAATAGAGAAGGTCAATTGACCTAATTAGGAAGTATCAGCAATGTCATTCCGTAAAATTAATTAAATATTAAATGTAGTGTTCAGAAATATGCTATATAGGCTCCTTGGAATTAGGGAACTAGCTGGATTTTACTTGCACCTTACTATGCCTCTTTTACTTGGCATCACAGACATGGACATATATTTCCCAGAGGATTTTGACTTTTGAGCTATTTAGTGCAGAGACTAGTTCAGAGATTGAAACACAGGAGTTTCTGGAAGAGCTAAAGCAAAGAAATGGGGATATGGAATTCTGAGTGAGGGACTTCCCAAATGTAATTTGATTTCAAGGTCTAAATTGTACAGAAATTAATGATAACTAAGGTTTAAGCCTCATTAAACTGTTACATTGTCAGATATTCTATAAATGGAAACTCAAAATACATGTTCAAAAAATTATGCAAAAGATGTATGGGTACATTTAGATGCTAACATAGGATTTATGTTTGTGTGTGTGTGTGTGTGTGTGTGTGTGTGTGTGTGTGTATGTAGAAGAACTGAGGTATAGGCCAGAGCTGTAGTAGGTGAGAGGATTCACCAGAGACAGAAAGGGGATATGTGTGTCAGCTCCCTGGCCAGGGATTGAAATCAGACCATAGAGGTGACAGCACTGAGACCTAACTCTTAGGCCACTATGGAGGCCAAATATAGGATGTTTGTTAATCATTTCACATATTAAACTACACTTTCAGTTACAAAGAAAATTAGAATGATGTCTAATGTCTAAATTAGTAAGTATGAAGGGTCATTTAGGTGACTCTGAAATCGATTCTTTCAACAGTCGTTAGGAAAACTCAGAAAGTATTTTCTTGTTTACTCTTAGGTGGTGATTCAACTTCAGATGATTGGAAAGACACATTATTTGAGAGCCTATGAAGATAATCATTGAAAACACTGACCTTAGATTTCTAGCTCAGAATAGAATCAAGGTTTTGTCAATTACTAATTGTGTAATATTCAGCAAATTGTTTACTTTTTTCTATCTTTAGTGTCTTCACCCATACAATGAAGATAAATTAGCCATCAGTTTATCATGAGTATTACATTAGCTAATACAGGAAGTACTTAATTCAAGGCCAGGGATACAGTAAAAATTCAATGGATGATAGCGTTAATATTGTTATTATTGTCATGATATCATTGTCACCACCCTCACTATCAATTCTCTCAGACTTAGACTTGCTGAACTCATATAACCTATGTTAAGTCAATTACCTGAAGATGTATTATATAGAAGCAACATCTTGTAAATCAAGCATAAGATAGGGTAATATAGTCTTCTAATTAAAGGAGCTAGAAAGTAATTTCTATATGCAGAAAGAAAGCTCTATGTGTTAGATTATAATATAAAGTAACCTATAAAGCATGT